CCAAGAATTTGGTCCTCAAATTTACTCAAACATCTCTTAGATTTCAGATTCTACAATTTATTTGTGGCTTTATTTTTCATTGGTTACAACCAATAAAGGTCTGTTCTTTCTGAGCTGGTTTTAAATTTCTGTGAAATATTACCCTCAACAAGGTGGATGACACTTTTGGCTAGTAATAATAACTCTTTTTCAATCATGAAGCCAGCTAAGCAGTTAGATGAAACAGGCAATACCTAGAAAGTCAAATTCACTGCCTTTATTTTAGAAAAAAAATCTGTCATTTCACTCAGAAAGTGTCTCACATAACTAAAAACCCAAAAGCAATTTCAGTAATTATTAATCCTTATACATCAGTAAAAACAAGAGAATTACAACAAGATAGCAGTCATGCACAAGATGCATTGATTTTGAGCTATTGAATGAAGATCTGCCTGGCACCATAAAGATGCCTGTGGAAGAGGTCAAGAGGGGCAGACACATCCCTGGCAATTATTTGTATTACCTTAGGGAGACCTCTTATCCTGAACACCACCAGTTTTTACATTTTCCCTGTTCCCTCCCTCTGTCTGCTCCATTTGTGACCAAGAATGAGGATGATGGGCAGAATGTCCAAAGCCATCTGGAAGGCTGTATCAGCTTGCCAATTTTACCATCTGTTGCAAAAAGCTCCCCATTTGGAAATTTGCATTAGCCATGCTACAGAGTGTGAAAAAAAGCATTTTGAGGAGAGAGGGACTCTTGGACTATAAAAGTTAAATAACATCCATGGGGTTGTTTGGAGAAACTATTTTCTAGTTATTATCTGCCCAAATGATGGATGAGATATCATGTATTCTGTCCTTCCCGGTGGATAATTTTACCCTGGAGAATAGAGGGCTTTGACAGAATTATAAAAATAAAACTGCCAAGCAATATGATGTCATTTAATCACAAGCCAGCCTCATTGATTTTCCCTTTAGGATGCAGTGCTCATTTGTTTGGAGATAATTTTGTCAGTGTTATGAGGAGGGAAGTGGAAAGCAGCTGTAAATAGTATCTTTGTGATGTGCTCAGATGTACCTTTGTCAGGAAACTTTTACGTGTTTTGTATTTGAGGCTGATTGAAATTGATTCTTGGTTGAATGGAATTAGTTTATCCCAGCTGTTTGGTGTCTTGTTTTGCATTGCGTGGCTACAGATGGTAAGACAGAGTTAGTGTTACATTCATTGCTTGATTGAAGCAAAGCCAAAAGCCATTCTTGCTGCACTCAGCACACTGCCTTATGAATGTTGCTGCTGAAGGGTTTTTGTGAGTTCTGAAAGGCTCATGGACAAGTCCAAGGTCATGTCTAGAAGAGAGAAAGTAGGAGAAAAGAGTCTGGTGCTGATTGCAGTGTCTGGAGAAGCCATTTTTTTCTCCCTCTTAGATATTTTCTTAGTCCCTTGTATTCAGTGTCCTTAAACTAAATCAAAGGAAAAAACATCAGTTTGCTGTTTCAATGAAGAGAATTCTTAACTGTTAGAAGAAATAAAAATACGTTGCTGTGTCAGGTTATTTCAGTTGAATAGGTATTAAAATAGAAATTGACTCCAAAAATAATTTTTTCATTTTGTATTTTTTCCCTTTCTTGAGATAGCAGATTATATATAACAATCCTCTTCACTTTTTGGGGGGGGAGGGGAAATTATTCTAGCAATGTTGTGATATAGGTAGACTGAAAGCTACTGATAAACCTTAGATTTGCATACACAGCAGTGACTTTGAATTCTGTTCTCCCTGGTTTAAGTCCTCTTTAAAAGTACAGCTCTTTTTCAAACATTCAATATTAATTATTTAAAATACATTTAACTAAAAACAGTTAATCATGTAAACTAATTGGAATTGCTGAACTACAACATTCTTGAATTAATACTAGAAAATTAGAAGGAGGAATCATTTCATTGTGCTTTCCTTTGTTATAACTACATCGAAGACTGATCTAGTTCTAACTGGGCATATTTTTCAGATTTTACCAAAACTAGATTTTTTTAATACTGTTGATTTCTGGGTCATAACAGAATTTGCATAAATTTAGAAATTATTGAAATAGTGATTAAATTAAGCTTTTGGTCTCTTAGCTCTTTAGACCTGCCTTCCTAAACGAGCCTCTTTAGGTTTTGGAGGGTTTTTCTTTTTAGAATAGAATAGAATAGAATTCTTTATTGGCCAAGTGTGATTGGACACACAAGGAATTTGTCTTGATGCAAATGCTTTCAGTGTACATAAAAGAAAAGATACATTCGCCAAGAGTCAAGAATCATAACATACAACACTTAATAATAGACATAGGGTACAATAAGCAATCAAATCATACTAGGAAAACAGTCAATCTAAATCGTAAAGATACAAGCGACAGAGCTACAGTCCTACAATCACACGTGGGAGGGGATGGGTGATAAGGAGTGATGAGAAGATTAACAGTAATAGTAGTGCAGACTTTGTAATAGGGAATTATTTGTTTAGCAGAGTGATGGCTTTCAGGGAAAAACTGTCTTTGTGTCTAGTTGTTCTGGTGTGCAGTGCTCTATAGCATCGTTTTGAGGGAAGGAGTTGAAACAGTTTATGTCCGGGATATGAGGGTTCTGTAAATATTTTCACAGCCCTCTTTTTGACTCATGCAGTATACAGGTCCTCAATTGAAGGCAGGTGGGTACTAATTGTTTTTTCTGCAGTCCTCTGAAGTCTGTGTCTGTCCTGTTGGGTTGCAGAACCAAACCAGACAGTTATAGGGGTGCAGATGATAGACTCAATAATTCCTCTGTAGAACTGTATCAGCAGCTCCTTGGGCAGTTTTAAGCTTTCTGAGTTGGCGCAGAAAGAACATTCTTTGTTGTGCTTTTTTATTTTTAGGACTGCTGTCTTTATGGCATCAGACAAGGAAATATATTTTCTTTCAGCAAGACACTTGTGTAAAAGAATAATGTGTAAATATGTTTAGGCAAGATGTATGTACACAAGTATCTTGAGAGCCAATCTAGTGGTTAAGTACTAGGCTAGAAAGCAGGAGACCATGAGTTTTAAGTCCTGCCTTAGCCATGAAAGTCACCTGGGTGACTTTAGGCCAGTCACTCTTTCTCAGCCAAGCCCACCTGATAGGATTGTTGTTCTGGGGAAATAGGAGGAGGAGGAGGAGGAAGGAAGGTATGTTGGATATTAAATGGCTCGTGTGAGGTGCTGTCGCCAGGGTGGGGTATGGGTGTGGTGGTGGGTGATTTTAGTATATTAATTTATTATATGACTTCTTTTATTAGTTTTATTTTTTTTTATATGGGGTTTTATATTCTGTAAGCCACCTTGAGTTGCCATGTGCGAATAGGCGGCAATATAAATTCAATAAATAAATAAATAAATAAATAAATAAATAAATTCATTCATTCACCACCTTGAGTTATTTGCAAAATAATAAAGGCCGAATACAAATCAATAAATGAATACAAATCAATAAATGAATAAGGAACTAAAACGCAATAACATTATTTGAGTCATTGTTAAACTCTTCTGCTAACAGAGCTCTCACAATGATTAATGTAAATTTCATTAGAACCATCATTTGTGATTAAGACGGTAGACTAATGAGTTGATGTTACTGACAGTTGACTGCTTCTAACAGTCTCTTTATGGATTGGGTGGGGGTTCTCATTTTGGTGAAGCAACAACAAATTGAGAAGGTCAGGAGGCGATGCATCTTGTTGATTTCTTTTTTTCTGATTGATATATTGATAATAGAGAGGAGAAGCAAAGTTAGGATACCAGCTTGCACTGTGAAATGATAGGCTTGTCCCCAGTGAAGTTAACTCAAGTCCTTGAAGTCTACTATATTTGGTTTGGTGCTTGATCTTGTTTGCTTGTTGGACTCTGACACCCCAATTCCAAATGTAGTGGCACCCCAATTCCAAATATAGTATGGTAGCATTTTTCCTGCTGAAATACAGATCTATAATTAGGTTGATTTCCACCACCCTTCTGCTTCCTGGGTTGTGTAGGTGGGGGAATAATGGGAAGACTCAAGTAGATTTTAAGATGATGACATTAACAGTTGTTTTCGGGAATCATATATTGGAAGTAATGGGGGATGAATGGATATATTTGGTGTGATTTCACAGACTACTTCCCAGTCCAGAAAATTGCAATGCAGCACTTGTGTATGACAGCATTGGGTTAAAGAGATATTTAATTATATGTGGTTATAATTGTACATTGGGGATGACAGAGAATGAGGTGGCTGGATGGAGTAACTGAAGCAGTTGGCATGAGCTTAAATTGACTCCGGGGGATGGTAGAGGACAGGAAGGCCTGGAGGAACATTGTCCAGGGGTTGCAATGGGTCGGACATGACTTTGCTACGAACAACAACAACAACATTGTACGTGATGGCAGAAGTTATTTATGAAATAGTGACAGGATCTCATTACTATCATAGATGTAGGCAGACCAAATTATCTTAGCTTTAGCCTCATTATTAATTTACAAAATGGCCTACACTATATAAGGTGATTTTGAAGTAGTGCAGCAAGTTAAGGCCAGTGAAATATTTAAAATACACTAAAATGCTGTGTAATAACTATTAACATTGAAAACTTTTAGCACTGGAATGTTAAAAGCTAAAAGATAATGAAAGCATGCCAATAGGCTTTTAAATTTAAGCAATCAGGACAAGGTTAACTTTCACAATAGCCAAATTATTTGAACTGGTAGAAACTGAATATATTACTTCAAGAAATAAAAGTGTTGAGTTTAATTTACTAATTTAAATGAAATGCATTGAGAGTCCAAGATACTGCCTTATGGAAATTTTATTACTATTTGTTTTCTCCATCTTTCATATCAACAAAAGGTTGCTGTTTATTTGAACTGCTTTTATGAAAAATTACTCAGTTGCTAAATTGATGTAGGTATTTTAAATGTGTAAAGCATGAATTGATTAATGAATGAATCATAGCTGATTTTTTTAATTAACTTTTTCTTTTTCAAAAAATTGCAGCAGACAGAAGGAGGGGCACAGACAGATGGCCAGCAGTCGCAGACGCAAAGCAGTGAGAATGCTGAGAGCAAGTCTACCCCAAAGCGGCTTCATGTGTCCAACATTCCCTTCCGTTTTCGGGATCCTGACCTCCGGCAGATGTTTGGGGTATGTTAGCAGTATTCACAGCTTGAAATCTAATATTGATTGATTAATTGATTGATATCCCACTTTATTAGTTTTACAAATCTCAAGGTGGTAAACTTACCCAACACACCTGCCTCCTCCTATTCTCCCCCATAACAGCAAACCTATCAGGTGGGTTGAGCTGAGAGAGTGTGTGTGACTGGCCCAAAGTCACCCAGCTGACTTTCATAGCTAAGGCAAGACTTGAACCCATGCTCTCCTGCTTTCTAGTGGTGCCTTAACCACTAGACCAGGAATGTCAAACATGCGGCCTGGATACGGCCTGCACAGGCCACGCCCACCCTGGCCCTGCAAAGGCAAAAACAATCCTAATATGTCACGATATGGCCCGCAATGTGATCGAGTTTGACACCCCTGCACTAGACCAAACTTCCAAAGCTCCAAATAAAGAGAGTTAATACATGCCGTCCTGTGTCCAATGCTTCTGGATGGTTTTCTCAGGACTGCAGATATTTTCCCACACTAGTTGTGTTCCATCAATGAATAAAGGTTGCCTGGTACGCATTTCATTCATCTCCAAACTCTGGATCTAGATGTTAATTTGTGAAAGGGAATTAATTATCCCTTAATGCAGGGGTGTCTAACTCGATTTCATTGAGGGTCGCATCAGGGTTGTGTTTGACCTTGGGCTGGGGTGGGTTTGTCCAGGTGGGTGTGGCCATCTTGATATCACTCATGTCGGGGGCACCTGCGGTGACCAAGTGCTAAGGCAGGACTTCCTTCAGACCCTGACTCACTCTCATTATAACCTACCTTCCTTCCTTCCTTCCTTCCTTCCTTTCTTCCCTTCCCCTTCCCCTTCCTTCCTTCCTTCCTTCCTTCCTTCCTTCCTTCCTTCCTTCCTTCTTTCCTTCCTTCCTTCCTTCCTTCCTTCTCTTCATTTTCCTTCCCTCTTCATTCTCCTTTCTTCTTCATTCTCCTTTCTTCTTCCCTTCTTTCCTTATTTTTACTTCCTTACTCTCTTCCCATCTTTCCTTCTTTTTCTTTGTCTTTCTCTTTCTCCTTTTCTGTCCCTTCTTGAATGCTCAAATGCAAAAGGGGAAACTTTTATCCTTTTGTTTTAATTTGTTCTGCTAGCCCTCTGTCAGCGAAAACAGAGCTCAGGGGCCCTTCGTGGCCCTGGACCATGTTTGCTGACAGAGGCACTACGGGCTCATCCTTTGCTATTTCCATGGCAGCTGGCGGGCTTGAGTTTGACACCCCTGCCTTAATGGTATAGGTAATCCTCGACTTACAACAGTTCATTTAGTCACCATTCAAAGTTACAATGGCACCAAAAAAGTCAGTTATGACCATTTTTTACATTTATGACCATTGCAGCATTCCTGTGGTCACATGATTTATATTCAGATGTTTGACAACTGGCTCACATTTGTGACAGTTGCAGTGTCCTGGGGTCATGTGATACCCTGTTGCGACTTTCTGACCACTAAAGTCAATGGGGAAGCCAGATTCACTTAACAACCGTTAATAATTTAACAACTGCAGTGATCCACTTAACAAATGTGACAAGTGAAAAGTCGTAAAATGGGGCAAATTTCTCACTTTGCAATATAAATTTTGGGCTCAGTTGTGGTCGTAAGTCAAGGACTACCTCTTATTTATTTTCTGAAAATTGTGTTGGTCTTTAAGATGTTCTTAAAGCTACTAAATAGAGTGCCAGTGTATTTTATTTTTCCATCAGACAGGGCTGGATTTACAGTTTAAGCATGTTTCAGCTGTGTTTTAAACTGCCTTTGATCATTGGCCAAAGTGAATAGAATGATTTCTGAGAAATAGCAAGCGCTTTAAAATCTGTGTGAAAAATATTTCTTTGAGTTATTTCTCATACTTGGATTTTCATAGCTTTTAAATAAATCTAAATAAAGGTTCTTGGCAAAAGAGAGATGTTAGCAGCTATGACAGGCACAAAATAAAATTATCAAATTGTAGTTACTTTTTATTTATCTTTGATAATTTTATTTTGTTAATTGCATTGCTATTCTACCATTCCCCAGATGAAATTCATACAGTTTCCATGGTTGTCCTATTTCCCTCTGGCACATTTTGTTATCTTCGCAACAGTCCTGTATAGTAAATTATTCACCAGCTTTCTGAGTGTATAATTATGTGAACCTGGATTTTGCCAGTCCTAGTCCAACATCCATTGGTGTACCACACTGCCTCTCATTTAAAAATAGAAGAAAATAAGATGCGAAAATTTATTCCTGATCCTGGAGCATTATTTAGTGACTCCAGAGTGAGTAACCATATTTCATAAGCATTAAAGAAAATGACACACAGATTTGATGAAACTCCTCTCAGTTGAGTCAGAGCAAAAATCTGTCTTGCTACTGAATTTAATAAACAAAGCACAATGACTTAGCAATCTGGTTTTAGTCCATATAATTTTATATTTGGGTGTGTATTGTTTGTAACCCACTAATGTTGAGGAGACATTGACTGGAAAATATTGTGTTTTGCCCCTGCCAAGAATAATAGAAAAGTAATATATTTAACTGCTGTGTTTTTGTAGTCCCATGACATGCTCCTCTCTTCTGCCCCATGGACTAGAACTTTACAATCTGGCACTTCTGGGATATATCTGCAGCTACCACTTTCAGCCAGATCTATAACAAGGATCCTGATCAATCCCATTCCCTCTTGTTTAGACCATCAGGGATATAGAATAGTAGATGTTTGCATATTGCAGCTTATTTTCAAAGTATCCGATTTGGTTTGTAGCCATTGACTAAATGCTTGTGTAAAATCAGATAACAACAGTGTAATAAATTAAAATGTTAAAATGATATGGAACTTTTCACAACATAATTGTATCCAGAGTTTCCTTACAGTGATCATGACTAAATAGTATTTTGCTGATATTTTAAAAATTTTTCTAAAGAGTTATCAGCTAATCTATTAGCTGATAATACAAGATAGTCCTTGACTTACAGCCATTCATTTAGTGACCATTTGAAGGTAAAACAGCACTGGAAAAAGTGACTTATAACTGTTTTTCATATGATCATAACAGCAACCCCATGGCCATGCGATCAAAATATGGACACTTGGCAATTGCTATGTATTTATGATGGTTGCACTGTCCCAGGGTCATATCATCACTTTTTGCAACTTTCTGATAAGCAAAGTCAATGGAGAAGCTATATTCACATAACAATCATAGCAATAGCACTTAGACTTATATATGCTTTATAGTGCTTTACAGCCCTCTCTAAGTGGTTTACAGAGTCAGCATGTTGCCCCCAACAATTTGGGTCCTCATTTTACCCACCTCGGAAGGATGGAAGGCAGAATCACCCTTGAGCCAGGTGGGATACGATCTGCCAAATTGCAGTAGGAGTAGCTTGCAGTACTACACTCTAACCACTGCACCACTGAGGCTCATATTACTATCTTATGTTACTCATGTTACTATCTTAACAACTGCACAGTATTTCACTTAACAACAAGAAAGAAAGTAGTAAAATAGGGAAAAACTCACTTAACAACAGTCTTGCTTAGCAACAGAAATTTTGAGCTTGAGTGTGGTTGTAGCTATTCTCTTCTGTGGTACAGTTGGAATGTTTTTCAAGTAATAGTGATGATAATTCAGAACACCATATATGGTGCTCTGTTCAACCACAGAACATGTGTTGATTCTATGCAGGGATAAATTCAGTCCTAAAAGGCAAGTTTTCTATAACTTCTTTCCAGAAGCGCTGTGAGAGCAAGACAATGAACCTGCAGGTATAAAATAAAGGCTCTTCTGTGAAGAACAGAGAGAATATTATATAAATATTTCATGCAGCAGCATAAGTCAGTCAGCAGCATCTGTAATATACATGGTTTAGTTTTTGCCCTTTAGTAGTTAACAAGTTGTTTTGGTTTTCTGCTTCTGAAATCACTTGAAGAACTACTTGCTGCCAGAAAGGCTTTATTTTGGGGGTATTCATGCAAGACCATAAGCCATTTTAAGGCTTAAAATAACCTAAAGGGTAGAACAAAGAAGCAATCAATAATTCAGTCCTTAATTCCTGCCACTACAGAATTTTTTGTACAGAGTAATTTCAGTTTGACACTATAATATTTGGATAAAGTATTTACTCAAATACATATTAGCATTTTGTTTTGAACAAGAAAGCTTTCCTTTGGATGAATCACATTGAAAGCAGCTTCCTTGTTGCTGTATGACTACTGTACAAAATGAAATACAAGTGAAAAATAGTAATAATAAATATGGTTGGTATTACAGAAGATAGATACCAAGTTGGTGAAGGCATGTCTAAACATATTGATAGATAAGCTAAAAAATTGGATTTAGGAGCCTTTATCAACACACTGAATAAATGCTTCATTTTATTTAAAAAAATGAGTTATCTTATTTTTAGAATCTGAAAGTATACAGTATACAATAATTCATTATTCTGCACACTATGTTAATCATAAGACATACCTTACCAGTCTTTCATCCTTTGAATTGTATAGGTTTCAATTTTTGTATTCCTGTCTAGTTTTTTGTCATCCTTGCCAACTGTACTTTTGGTATTTTTGTAAATTGTTTTAATGTTTTTACCTTGTTCAACTTGCAAAGATATCTTTAATATTAGGTTTAATACAATATTATAAAATAACATCTATCAACTCTTTGTTCTTGGGAAGGACTTGATAGGTGGACATAAATGCCAAATCCAGTCCAAAACACCTGACTATAATCATCATAGCAACAATAATCATGCCTTATTTGATATCCTCAGTGAAAATAATCTTGGTGGTTTAAAACATCTATGATGTATAGCATCATACAATGATTTCATGGAAAGTACAGTGTTTGGAGTTTGACAGTGAAGTACATTGGTACAGTTGGTACAGTTAGAAAAATGGTACAGTTAAAGGAAAGAGCTTCTGATTGCAGGGATGGCTATCATAACATGTAAATACTTTGTTGTTATCTCTATGGGAACATGCTAAGGAATTCCCTGCTATATGGCAGTGATTAAATAACTTATTTCTAAATTTTTATTTACAGTACTAATATGCATTCCAGAATAATGATAGGGATTGGGGGGCATTTGTTTACAAATCTTTTAAAGCATGAAGTTAAGAAATAAAACCACCAACATGAAATCAGGCAAAGGAGATTCTAACCACTAAACCCAAAGCAGTATTTCTTAGTTCACTAAATAGCTTGAGCCACTTGTTGTCGGGCTAATCTGTTTAAAAGATTATTGTAAGAGTAAAAGTATGCTTGTATTTGAACCTAAATAAAATAATGCAAATAATTTAAGAAGTATTAAAGATTTTAAGATGGAAAAGCTTTGGGAAATAAAATAACTATGCAATATAGCTACCTCCAGAGAATACCTCCAGTTCTAAAACCGAACTTCTATTAAAAAACCTTGTTTTTAAAGCCCCATTTGATAGAGACAGGTAAAATAAAAGAGTTCAGTAAATGGTTTTATAGAATGGGTAATATATGTAAGAAAAAGTAATGTTTTGGATCATGTAGTTTTAAGTCATTTAAAAGTGGAAGGCTGATGTGTGTATTTCACAGTACTTGGTTGAGCACATGTAATTAAAATCAGAAAGATCCCTTTCCCTAAAGGAACTTCTTGGTCATAGATTATTCAAATCAATGTAACTTTGTTTTCTGATTGTTGTTTATTTAGCAAAACAGCAACTAGTCTGAGTGGATTCAGAGTTTGTAAATGCAGATAAAAATACCTTGTGGGAAGGGAGTGGTGGAAGGATGGCCCTATGATAGATCCCAAACTTTGAAGTGGGGAGTAGAACCAAATGGCTGGAAAAAGACAATAGTAGAAATTACACTTAGGTACTTGACCTCCTACTTAAAAATAGCTTTTTCATAATCATATTTTCTCTCTCTCTCTCTCTCCCCTCTCTCTCTCTCTCTCTCTCTCTCCCTCCCCTCTCTCTCTCTCTCTCTGTGTATATCACTATATATAGCTTTAGTTATGTAATCAGATTTGACTACCATGAAAAAAGAAAAATCAGTAGACTTGCAGAAACTTTACAGTTTCCAGAATAACAATAATTTAGAAAAGGTTGAAGAGGTATATGAAATCCAGGAGAAGAGCCTGAAGAAGGCTGAATATGAGAATACCAAGTGGCTGTGAAAGATAGATAGTATGTTAAAACTGTGTATATAGGGAATGGCATGGAGGAGATGCTGGCTGGAACACTCCACCCAGTTTAAAAATATGAGAATTATAGAACAATATATTTATAAACCAGCCACCATTCCTTATTGCAATTGCGAATAGTCTTTTGTTACATCAATAGAAGACAATATATGAAGAGGCAGAAGTTCCCTGAAGATGGGCTCCAGCACGAGTCCAAAAGCTCAGAAGACAAAACTTCTGATCCCGATGACCAGCCCAGATTGGATTCTGCAACATTATCCTGGGACACACCTTTATTCATACCATATGAAGAGAATATATATGATGTTATCTAATTGATTAATGAAACCTCTGCAAACAAATAATCAAACTCAGAGAACACTAAGGATTTTACTTTTGTTATTTTGTATTTTACATAAAATGTATCACAGATTGTAAGGCTTATAAACCTGACAACCAGGGAAAATTCAACAAATACATAAAAATATTAAGTCGGAATTCATTTTAAAATATTTTCAACTATGCATTTCTTTCTCAGCCATGAAAGATAAAGGATGCTGAATTAATGAACCCAAATCTTTTTTTTATAGCAATTTGGTAAAATCCTTGATGTAGAGATAATCTTCAATGAACGTGGGTCTAAGGTAAGTTTTGTTTCTTTATCTACCTTCTACCTATTTCTCTCCCTTACCAGTCTACAACAGTTTTCAAGATAAAGCAGCTTCCTTCCTAGATATTCCATATAGACAGAAAAGGAATTAGGCATTGGGTTACCTAGAGTTGCCATTCCATATAATTATAGGTGTTGTGTATAATCTATTAGTATCTTCAAGAATAATTTCATAATTTTCCCTTTGAAATAATCAGATTTATCCAAACCTCTGAGCATAAAAAGAGTCACTGAAGCTACAAGAGTCAGTTTTTGTACTAATTTTTGTTAATTTAAAATGTTTGAGAAAGAAATGGTATAAAATTTTTTAGAAGTATTTTATATATAGGATAAGAGTTATCTTGTGTGGAAGAAAAATGAAATGCCCACCTGATGTTGCAATAATTCTCCAGTAGTGCAAGGATGTTGGCCCATCCTCTTACAATGCCTGCAAAAACTTGCAGCTTTTTAGAAAGGTGTAAGTTATTCAAAATACAAGCTGTTCAGAATGACGTGAGGTTTTTTTTTTAGAATTAACTTTCTGGAGTTCCAATGGCAAACCTTATAGTCCTAAGTGTAGCAATTTTAAATGTTGCTTGTCCTAACCGGTTCTCATCATGAAACCAATGTCCCCTCACTGAAGAATTGATGTGATTCTCTCTCTGCCCAGTAGGTCCAGCACTGGAATAGCAGGGAGTGTTTCAGGTCAGGAGCAAGGCGCATTGGCAGAGCTCTGTGGGGGAAGCTTGCACAGTGCATGTCTCTACTATGCTTGACTTAATCAATGCTAAGTTTTCCACTTTTTATTAAAAATAAACATCTGTCCCACACCCTCACTCCATCACATCATAGTGATAAGGCATAGCTAGGATTATATCTGTATATCCTGTCTTTGAGATTCATAATCTACACAGAGTAGGTCCATAGGGATGTTTATATACAAGATTATGTTGTTAGCATATCAGATTTCCTATGTATTATCTGAAAACCAGAAAAGAGGTAATATTTACTACTTGTACATAATGCAATACATATAACATATGCATTTAGTATTGGAACTAATTTATCTCATAGCTTAGTTTATAAAGATGTAGGGTAAAATGGATGCAGCACATAATTATTTTAATTTGTGAAGAGCTGCAAACTGTACTGAACCACATGCTTTCTATTACTCATATATCCACGGTATATATTTGAATAATGAAGTGAAAATTGTATTATGTTTGGCCACTACACTTACACTTCAGTAAACCTAGGCTCTTGGAAGTGGCTGTAAAACGTTTTTGGATGAACAGGAGACTGATTAGAGTGCCATAGGCTGGCTATTTGAACCATGCAAGCATTAACAAGTTCAGGATCTTATATTTATTGTTTTTCAGAGAATGGACATAATCTGCTGTAATTTAATCTCTGAAAAACATTCTATTCTCTGTACTGTTGAGATCAGTGTTTTTCAATCTTGGCTGCTTTAAACCATGTGGACTTCAACTCTTAGAATTTCCCAGCCAGCATACTGAAAAAAACTATTTTTGTTGTGCTCATATACATCTACAGTTTTATGGTGTATACATCTGTCCTTATTTTAATACACACTCAGAAATACTAGGCTGCTTCATGTTTCATTCTTAGTGAGGGATTAGCAGCAGCATGCTTCTGAGATCACATTCACTAACTTCTCTGGTAAGTAAGGATGTATACCAAATTATATAAACCCCTGTCTATGACTTGCTTAGCATGTTTACAAGAGATGTCGGATCAAAAGGAGTTAGAAAGCTAAAACAAAACATGTATTTTCCCGGTACTAAGCAAACCATGGACAGTCTTGTTCATTAATTCATTATTTATAGTTACTGTTAGGGGAGCCAGTGTATATGATCTGCGTAGCGTGCTGCTTGTTCATTGCTAAGCCATAATAAACCATAAGGTCATTCAGTCCTTGTGTTTGGAATCTTCCATAAATCATAATATTCTAACTATTGAACTGCAAGTAAATAAACCAAACTTCTGGTTTTCAGCTAAAACAAAACCTGTTAAGATTAAATGATACCTCTTTGCCCCTTTTCTTTTATCTAGTAAATATTTAGCTCATAAAGGCATTGATCAAGTCTTTTCTATTTGGTGGTAGAATTTCAAACATTTGCCTGTCAAATTCACAGCGATTCAAAGATTCAAATGAGACTGTTTTAAACACGGTGAATAGTATAAGCAGGATTCCCAAAGAGCGTTTGTGTTTATGGCATTTTTGTGTTTACTGAATTTGGACATTTTAAAATAAGCTTAGGTTCCCAGTGGAGAAGCACAATTCTTTCAGGGACCCTTCACTTATCACTCACTTCTTCTGCAAAAAAAAGTATGCCAAAACTTGAATGCTTGTATTCCTACCCTGTGGTTTCTATTCTAACCTAATGATATGGAACCTTTCTCCTCCTCCTCTTTCTTGGGAATCGGAAAGCAGATGCTCCCCGCTGCCTGCCTTGTGCTGTGTTCTCAGTATTACCCTTCCCCTTCCTGGGTTTCTCAAGGGTATATTCTTCAATATGTGAATGTTTAAAAGGTGAAAATGTAAAATCCAAATTGCTCTGGGTATGCCTACACCCATTCCCTCTATGGAATGAGCAGATCTTTATCCTTTCATAACTGTGGCAAAGGCCCTCTGCCAGATATGTCCAGTGTTGGAAAATTTGAGCATTTCAAATTACCCTTTAGTCCATCTGAGATGAGATGATGTATTTCCATCCTGTTGTTGACATGGGGAAAGATTTTTGAGCATCAAGTGCATTTGTGCACATCGGCTGTATTTGATTTTCTTGTAAAAATCACTTGGAATGAATGAAAAAATTACGAGTAACAGTTTATGGTTATGTTAGATTTATTAATAAATGTTAATGCTTTTATAAGCATCTCAACATTGAATATTATCTTAGGCACAGTTTTAGTTAACTAGCAGCATATTAGGAAAAACTAAAAAGAAAAAGGTGTTTGAGCCATTTCTCAGTTATGTTCAGACTTCTGTTTCTTAATTAATCTTCATTAATTTTTCTTGTTTCATTAGCAGCGCCTAGTGAATGGAGCTGTTAATATGATGATTTCTTCCAGTTTGGTTTCCGTTCAAATACCAGTTTAAGCTCCTACAGTATTTATATCAGTGGCATTCAAATTTTAACAAACCAGTCTAATTTTCAATAGAGCAATGATTGAACCAAGCCTCGTAGCCACAGTTGTGGTAATTATTATTATTTCTTCTACTTGTGTGCTGCCTTTCATCCAAATGTTTAAGGTACACAGTGGCCCTTCTTTTTATTTTATCCTGACAGCAAGAACAACTCTAGAAAATAATGAATAGCCACAAATTACCACTGAACTTCCATGACTGAATATCAACTAAAATCTGGGTCTCTGCAGTCTTAGTCCAATGCATTAACCACTACATTTTGCCAACTCATTCACCCATGTTTAATAGAAAGCTCGTTCTGATGATAGTTCCCTTCCTCTATAGATAGCTTGGGTGATGCAAAGTGACAAACAGATGTTTAGATTTTTGAAAGAGTTTTTCCCCCCTCCTATAGGTGAGATCTTGTAGAATTTTTTAGGGGCCACTCAAGTAAATAGACTTAATTAATAGTGAACCTGAGAAAGATACACCTTTATTCAGCTTCCTCTGTTTTCTCTGTTAAGGTACTAATAATCAGCCGGGAAACAATGGCTTTGAATGTCTGTATTCCAATGCCCAGTGGAAGGAACTTCCTTCCCAGTGTGGCTGAGGTTTCTGTTGCAATTAACAGTGGGAAAACAGCAGTGATTTCACCACCCAGTTGATGCAGTGAGGAAAAGTAGAATAGTTCTAAAGCTGTTTAGAGAACTAGTAAGGGTCATATACTCAACTATAAAATCCAGTCATTCTATAGATAAATTATTTTAAGAAATGAGAGATTGTATGTTCAGCTTAACTGTAACAAAATCCTATTTTATTACTCTAAATTCCATTTAACATTGATTACTCTGTTTTCTTAATAGTTGCAATTGTATCCTAGTTTATATGTCCTCACTTAAAAATATGTATTTTGGACAGCAAAAATACTTTTTTCTTAGGTTGAAAAACAATTTCTTTATTTTTTCCATATTGTTAAACAATTCTATTTTAAATTCTAGCACATGTACATAAAATTGCTTTGATCAATCCAGTTTAATAGCTACAAAATATGCATCCTGGTTCAACCTATGCAAAGTAATTCTAGGTTAAAAAAAATCCACAACTGTTTTTTTCAGATCTTAAAGAATAGTGTCCTCACTTTAAATAGCACTAGGATATTCTCCTTGGAACTTATTTTAATCACTCATCTCAGATGGATTATTGTATATTGACATTGAAAGCAAATAACCTGAAAGCCTGGATTTTTATGTTTGTTTATTTATTTATTTATTTATTTTTGTTGTTGTTCCATTTGTCCAGGCTTCTGGCTGTTGACTAAGTTTTTTTTAAAAAAACTGCCTCTTTGTATATGCGTGTATACATATATATATATATTAACAATTGAAATGATGGAAAGTCTTTCCCAACACCTTGAGATAAAGATGCTGCTTCTGAAGTCAATGTTCTAAACACAGTGGGGAAAAAAGTGTTAACAATGCATGGATTTCAAGGGGCTCCTTTCAGTTTCCTTTGAATTTATTTCATTTTTTTTTTTTTGGTTATGATTATTTTTCCCTTAATTTCTGTGTTCTGGCCACACCCAGGAGAATCGTCTGCTTTTGATTTCTCCCTTTACGGTTACATGGTAAATTTTCTTTCTCATTCTTCAGAGATGAAAACATTTTATAAAAAAAACTCTGTACAATTATTATTTTACACTGCTCATCCTGTTGCTTGTTATTTATTGCAGAATCTGAGGCCAGACTAAAAAGGTGACAGTTACTCGGTGCCCTTGGGCTGCAGGTTATTCTGAATGTTTTTGAAGATTTAGTACAGTTAGAAGTTAAATGGACTGGGTATTGTTTTCAAACTGAAATGAAAGTTGCATAATAAAATCAGTTCAGTCTCAAAATTACCAGCAAATTGAATTATTACAGGTTCGTGGGAATAATTATAAAAGTACATATCCTTCTTGAGCTAGTTATATTACTTTCTTTTTTTCTTTCTGAACTGTGAGAAATTTTAATCGAGTATTAAAATACGGCTTTGGTATGATGTGGCTATGTTTAGGGAGGATAAAATTGAATTTATCTTTAGAGGAAAGTATGTATTCAGTATGAAATATGCTCTTTTTCTGATACTAGAAATTATTTGTAGCTTAGATATGAATTATGGGGTTTTGGTATTTTCTGGATTTGGTTGTTGTCCTGCACATTTTTGGAGAACACCAACAAATCAATACTTGCTTTTATTACATGAGACTTTCACCAAGGATTAAGTAAAATTCAAAGAAGTTCAACAACTTTTTGGTCAAAGGTTCTATGTCATGTGTTTAGGATGAAGATGTAAAAATGTTTAGAAGTGTAGTAAACTAATATTAAATAAAATGTGTACTCATGTAATAGATATATCTTCATAACAACCCTATGAAACAAATTGCACGAAAAGGTTTTTGCACTGTATGTTTGATTTTTGGCTGCAGTGATAATATTGAAATCATGTCCATTAAGACAAATCCTCATGTTATTCACAGATTTGTAACACCTGATGCAAAATGTAATGTGCTTGAAAAATACAGAGGTGTTAAAGATGTAGCTCACTTTGCAATTACCATTCATAAGCTATGTAGACACGGGAAGGTAGAACTTTTAAGGCAATTATTTCATTTTGCAGATAATATGCACTTGCTAAATTCTTGGAATATTGAGTCAATCTGTTCTAATAGATTCACATTTTCCTAACCATGACATAGCAAAAATCTATAAAATTCCTCAGTAAACATAATTCTCACCCAATTAATGTAGTAGGGAGATTTACAATAGTGAAAGGTGGCAATTTTCACCCTGCTCTTCGAAAAGAATGTGAAAGTCTACATTAGAGGAACAAAATGGGGAAAAATATTATAGTGGCCAATAAGAGTAAGTTCTTTATCCTATTCCTTGAACATTGATTCTACAGAAAATAACTTCATAAATATAAATAGCTTACCATAGGAGATCCAACTGAAAATTCAGTATATGTAGCGCTATTGTTAATGGTGAATATTGGGCTCGAACATGTTCTTCTTACAAAACCTTCAGGATCAATTTAAAAAGTCATGAACTACTTAATGCTTTTTTCCTTTATTTGAAAATATTTATCCAACTATTTCATATTTGTATTACATGAAGCATACATACTTCAGTTTCTTGAAAATAAGTATAGGGTTAGGTCTTAAATGTCCTACTGTAGTACAATTATGTGAATCTGTTAATAAATCCAATTGAATATATTTGTACTTTGGAAAAAAGGCTTAGAACCTCAATTAGATAAATATTTCTGTCTTAATAGTGATAATATTAGCAAAGATTAAGATTAACTGATTATGATCCATAACTGGTGGCATTTTACCTTGGCATTTATTAAGGTAAATCTGTATATTTTTATGACTGAGGCAATTGCATCTGCAGCATTTTAAAAGTTAAATAGGAGTGGTGTTACATTGCCATCACATGATGTTTCACAACGTTTTTCCCATTCGCGGAGCTGGGATGGGTGTGGCCTGCATGTGACCCATCCGACCCATTGGCCGCCAGTTTAACATCCCTGTTTTAAAGCATACCTTTAAGGAATTAACAAGAAAGAGAAGCAAAGATGCCCAGGACATTGTCAAAATTCTATATATGTGACACACACACACACACACACACACACACACACACACACACGTTTTTTGTTGCCCGTAAATGTATTCATTGTCAAATTACATATATTAATACTATTCATACAAGTAATAAGATGAATTAGAACTATCACACATATCACACTTTCTTCTGCTAGATTTTCTTCAGAGCATCTTCCTGTGCCTATCCTTGTCATATGGAAGGAAGTTATTAAGAATGCTGCAAAAGAGAACACATGAATGGTCACTTATGGCAAGATTTCTTTCCAGGTTTTAATACATTGCATTTGATCAATCTTGGAACTAGTTTTTACTTTTTAGAATGTGTCTCGAGTAACTATGCTTTTTTTGGTCTGGCCTCAATTGCTTTTATGTTTTATTATTTTCAATCTGATTAAAGTTATTTTTTAATTGAAATTCTTTCATGAAACATGCATGAACCAAAAATGTGACTCTAGGAGAGTATTGCTAAGTTGTGCTGATGTCAACTTCATACTGTGATATTTTTTTCTCTATTTATCTAGATATCAGTATTTCAATATATAACGATGTGCATGTTTTCCCCCTTCTCCCGCTGCATGCAGGGATTCGGGTTCGTAACTTTCGAGAATAGTGCTGATGCAGACAGGGCCAGGGAGAAATTACACGGCACCGTGGTAGAGGGCCGTAAAATCGAGGTGCATGTCTTCAGTAATTCAATTTCTTCTTTATATTTCTTCTTTGGTTTCCTTTTTGTGTCTTGCCTCACTGATTTCACATTGGGATTCTTGTCCAGTGCGTGTGTGTGTGTGTGTTTGTGTCCTGTGTTTTTCACTCCCATCCCCTGCACTGAAGTGTATAAAATAACCTCCCAATATATATATATATATCTATATATTTTTATTATTTTTGTTATTTTTCTTTGTCTTTGTTTTCCTTTCTCTTGTTTATTTCCAACTCACTCCAATTTTTTTGCCCTTCTGCTATCTTGATTTTCCTTTGCTTCAGTTAATGAGGCTCCGACTTTCAATTTCCAAGCCAGATCAAAAACTAACAAAATGAGCACAGTCCCATTTGTCACTTGGTCTCTAACAAGACAGAAGGGGTGGGCAGCCAATATCTGCCCTTGATTCAGAGGCCAGTTCTCCTCCATATGAGTGTGAAACTATTGTTTTGGGAAGGGGTGGATGGAGAAATCAGGAAGAACCTGAGCCATTGAAATATCTATGTAAATGTATTTCAAATTAAGAAATATGCATTCCATAATTAATTCCAATGAATTTAGACTGTGATAAGCATAAGATGCTTCTTGTTGCCTAGATGAGAGGTAACTTCTTAGTGATGAATTTGCTGTTCCCTCATATAGAAGGCTAACTGGCCCCTTTTTGTTCTTTCTTTTTAAAGGAAAAAAAATACTAATTATAAGGAAAAAAATTAAAGCCGCCATTTTGAGTAAGATGTCTGCATATTTTGCTTTTTTGTTTTGTTTTGTTTTGTTTTTGTTTTTTGTTTTGTTTTATTTCCCTTTTTAATGGTTTAGTGTTTAGGGCCCTTCACTTGACTCACTCTTTCCATGGTAACTATACACAATGCTGGCGATGGTACGAGTTGGCGGTAAGTGAAATCAAAGTGCTAGAGGAGAAGCTTACTTCTTTTCTTTTCTTTTATGCAAAACAAAAAAAAATTAAAGAAAAAATCCATCCGCCATTTCACATTAACACTACAAAATGTGATTTGACTTGTTGTCCCTCCCCCCCTTTCCCTTTTCCTTCTCTCCCCTCCCCTTTTATTTTCAATGCTGTTGAGTAATGCCACCTGGATTTTGGATGTACATACCATTTTGTTTAAGTCTGAGCTGTTTGATTACTGACTTTCCAGTAATTTTCCTTGCGCATCTTACTCAGAGTTACTGAACTCCAGTTTTGGCTGGTTTTCTTAATGCACCCATACACTTTTTCATTTTTGCCTATCCATCTCCTTCCTCCTCCACTTCTGTTCTGCACTCCCTCTTTGGACCTCTGATTGTTCTCCTCTCCTCACTTGCCATTTTCCTTTACTTAGTTAAATACAGCTGTTGGTCTTTGCTGATTGGTGATTTCTGATTGGTTTTGCCCATTTTTTCCTTTAAGTGCTTGTATTGCATTCTGCTGTAGCAGTTGATTTCAGGCACTTGCTCCATCTTAATGATTGTCTGTGAGACCTCTCTTCCTATCCCCATTAATCAATTGTTGTTGTTGTTTTCTTTTTTTATGTGTGTTTTAACAGCATGCTTTCAGTCTCATTGTTGTTGTTTCCCATTCTTTTTTTTCAATGTGTAATGTTTATATGGGGTGGAGGGTTGTTAGGAGGGCTAAAAATAGAGCGATGAGATTCCAGGCTCCCTTCTTCCCTGCCCAAAGCTCACTTTTGTTTTAAAGTTCAGAGGGCCTTTGAACCATCCTTTTCTTGATCTTGAAGTTCACATGAGGCTTTTTCTTCCATTAAGACTAGGGTTTTGAAAAGTTACTGATCCTACCTCTTCTACCTTCACTCTCTGCAAGACACTGTGCCTATGTTTGACACAGGGTTGCCATTGTTTGGCTTTAACCATCCCACCAGTGTTTTACTAGCATCATCTGTGCTGCAACCTTCAACTTTGAGCAACGAACAGCTCAAAAGGGACAGTGAAAGAGACTAAAAGGAAAAAAGAGTCAGGAGACACTTCATACATTTCTAATAGTGTTCATTTTTCTCCTGACAAGGCAGCAACTAGGGAAGATTGGGGTTGATGGCCTCTCAAGATACAGTACTCCAAAATTGAGATACAGGCCAAGCAGTGCTGCTCTGGAATGCAAACTCCCTTAGAAGAAAAGCAGCTTAATCCCAGACACCTGGGAATAGTTCTTCTGCCCAAATTGCAGCAGGTTTTTTTGGTTTGTAATATTAGTAGACCACTGCAGTTCAGTGAAAGGCTGCTAATGGATCAGACAAGGTTATTTTTTGTTTCTGTTTCATGCCAATCAAACTGGGCACAAAAAATAACAATGGAAGAGTTTTTGCCCCTGAACAGTGAGCATCAAATAGTGAAGTCAAAGCTGGCAGGGACGCCTGAGAAAATCTGCTCTTTTTAGCCTTTTCTTTGATGCATAATTAAAATTCAAAAAATTAGATGTTTATAATTATAATATATATAGACAATCAGTAAAAGTAAATTTAATTGTGCTGATTTTTTAAAAAACATTTTGTCTAAAAAAATTATGGAAGGTTTCTATCATTTTCTCTAAAGTGTTCTGCTTCCTTCCCTCTCTTCCCCTTCCCCTTTTAATTTTTAGGTTAATAATGCCACTGCACGAGTAATGACTAATAAGAAGATGGTCACACCATATGCAAACGGTAAGACAAAGTGACAAGGCTAAAGGAAGAATGGAGGCATAAGAATTAAATTTTCCTTTTGGTATTTCAGAATAATTTGAGAAACTTTTTTCTTTATAGGTATAGATAATTGAAATAACAGATTGTCAAGAGGTAGAAAAGAGCTCTTGGAAATATTTTGAGAAAAAGGGCACTTATTTGAGTCCGCAAATATGGATGAAATACTGTGGTTTTAGGAAATCGCTTTAAATATTTAGTTTTGCAACTGACTAATGAATTGGTGAGAAGTGACCAACACAGACATCTCCACTATTACTGATACATAGTGACTGTGCTCTAATTGATCTGTATACACAGGTGATAGAGGTTTTTTTGAGTGTGTTTAAAATTGGAAGTGATTAACAGAGGTAGACAAATGATGCATTTACATTTACATTTGTCTTGCATTTTTAGGGAGGTTGTCTCCTACCCCATGAATCATAAGGAAAAAAATAGTCAACTTGTGATTTAAAAAGAAAGCTACAGATAGTCCTTGACTTACACGGTAGTATTCGACTATTGTGTTGGGATCTCAGTTTTTGAGTGAAGTGTCATTAAGTGAGATGCCCACATCACTACTTTGTTCAATGATTGTGATCACAGTTCTCCCAGTTTTGATGGTTAAGTGAATGAATCAAGGGAGTGTGTGAACAGGTACTCATTCATTGACTGGAGAGACGAAGTTGGGATCCTGAAGATCAGAGCTTTAAGTGCTGGACCATAAAGCATTCTTTCCAAGTTATCGTAACTTTGAACAATTGTTAAACAATTGGTCACAACTTGAGGACTACCTGTATCTGCATAATTTGCTTTTGCCTATATGTAGGCACACCTATCGTGCTATTTTCCTTAGGATAGCAACATCATATAAAATACATAAAAAGAGAAAAGGCAAAATAAATCCATGCTGGAAGATAATTGTAAAAGGAAGTTAATTAATTTTATATTATACAAACACCATTCATCGTATTCCTCCATATCTTTCTATATTTGCAAACTATTCTTGCTTCCATCATGTCCATTCACCAACTCAGGTAGTGCCTCTGTTTCTTTCATTTCTCACCACGATCTTTTTGGAGAGGTTTTTTTGACAACCATGTCTTTCTTCAGTTTCCACTTCCCCTCAACAAATGAGTTCTTCTTTCATATATGTGTTTTGTTATTCAGTCCTTATTCAGTCCCTCTCTAAGGTCAAATTACCTCAGAGTTCTTTTTCTTTTTTTGCACTATCTGCTCACTTTTGTACTCATTCCACATTAATTCATTACTTGTTAATTCTTGTCTGACTGCTTCACCATAGAGTTTATTGTACATATTTTCTAAGTAACTCTTTCCCACTGTATTCAATTTAATTTGTTTCTCGTATACTCTATTCTCATTTCTACATAACAAATGTGCAGAAGATTACTCCCACACACAGCCATTTTAACATACTTTTACAAATTTGATTCCTTTCAGCAGACCATGTGCTTTCTACCATCTGTCAACATTTTTACATCTTAAAATTTCTCCAACCATTTCCACATCTTTACAAAACATTCTTCCAATGATCATTGATTCCTCTACTTGATATACTTTTTGTAATTACTCATTCATTTTCCTCGTCAAACAAAGCTCCTTTGTTCATTGTTCAGAAATTTCAAATCTGTACACTGCTTCATACATTTGATCTAACATTTATTGCAAATCATTTCGGTTCTTGACTAACAACATGGCATTACCTGCATACTGCACACATTCATATCCCTAATCAACCCAATATCGTAAGTGTGAGTTGATCATGGAAACCTTAAACAACCAGGAGATGGTTGCATTCTATTTGATGGTGAACCATTTACTAAGCAATTAATTTATTTTCACGCATGCTAGTCTTTCACTGTATACCACTCTTACTGTATACCACTCTTCTAATTCATCACACAAAATGTTTCATAATTGAAGTCTATTCACTTTGTCATATGCTTTCTCTAAATCACTAAATATGTAATAATTTTTTCACATTCATACATTTCTAAATGACCTTTCGAAGAACAAAAATTTTGTGCACACGCTATCAGCATAAAGACACACTACTTGTTCCTTCTCGGCTCTGGTTCCATTTCAGTGAGAATTCTGCTGAGCAGTTTTCCATTCCAAGACACATTTAACTAACTTGTAATTTTTGTTATTCATTCTTCTCACCTTTTCATTTGTATAGGGGAGCAGTAAATCACATTGGTCTAATTGTCAGGTGCAGATGTGATCTTCATCGATATATTACTGTAAAATAACTTACACTACCACTTCATAAATAAATCACACCCCCATTTTAACATTTTTCTAGTTTCACACCTGCACTTTTACTATTTTTAATCAGTCTCATACTATTTATGATTCTTTTTTCATTGTTTTTGGAAATAACATTTATAGCATTCATTTTAGTGCCATTATCATACTCATATAAATCTCTAAAATATTCTTTCCAGTATTCATTTGCCTCCATTGAAGCTCAGATCACTTCATCACTTTAATTTTAAACTCTATTCACTTTGCAGAAGACTCTTTGTTGAATCTCAACTTGATTAGCTACTGTTTTTTATAGGTTTCACTGTCTTGATAGAGAAAGTAATAGGAAGTGTATCTTGATTAGCATATGCATTTGCATTATCAAGGTCAAATAAGATAAGATAACCTTTATTGTCACTTTTCTGTGTACACAGTGGCACATATTAAAATGAAATTCCGATATCCGCTCTCAAAAGAAGATATGTATGTATGTATGTAGGTAGGTAGGTAGGTCTAGGTGTGTTCGGGTCTTTTCCCGCGTAAGATTAAGAGTATCTTGGCGACGTTTCGGCGAGGTCCCACTCGCCATACTCAGGCTGGTGCTTGCAAGCACTGGCACGAAGCCGAATGCACCAGCCTGAGGATGGTGAGCGGGACCTCGCCGAAACGTCACCAAGATACTTTTAATCTTACACGGGAAAAGACCCGAACAAGACCTACATACCTGTATCCGTGAAAATCTACGAAAACAAATATATATATATGTATGTATGTATGTATGTATGTGTGTGTGTTTTCTTAAGTTTTCACGGGTACTTACATGTATGGTATTCAGCTTTGTTCAGGTATTTTCCCACGTCATTATAGTTGTGCTTTTAAAGTTGTAGCAACGTTTCGGCAGAATCTCATCTGCCATCATCAGGCTTCTCTATAGTGTATATACAGAAGCCTGATGATATATACAGCCTGATATATACAGAAGCCTGATATATACAGAAGCCTGATGATGGCAGATGAGATTCTGCTGAAACGTCGCTACAACTTTGAAAGCACAACTATAATGACGTGGGAAAATACCCGAACAAAGCTGAATACCATACATGTAAGTACCCGCGAAAACTTAAGAATATGTATATGTCTATGTATAAATAATCCAGGTAAATTCTAAGAATCACACACCCAAAAGTTTATATGTTCATTGGTTGTGGTCCTTTCCCATTTGGGTTGATATATGATATTTCTAAGACAGGCATTCCTCTGATTTTGTTCAAATGCTCACCAGTATCCTTAGTATTATAGAATGGTTCCTTACTTGATGTTCAGAGATCAATTCAAAGACATAAAGTTTTAATTTTATAAATAACACAGTCATTCCTGTATGGTTTCAGATTTTTCATTTGATCTTTCACTACAACTACAGCCTTTTAAAAGACAAACACAATGCAGTGTAAGCTTCATTTTCAGATTGTGGAAAGGATTTTTCAGAAAACATTAGTGATTTGTATTTTCTCCTCCATTTATGTCCAGAATACAAGAAATCTGAAAAATATAGCCTGTTTTTATGCCTAGGAACAATCTGTATGGAAGTGAGGTAATAATTACTAGAAGATAGTTACTAGAGGTTAGACTATGTCTGTCCTCATATACTTGTTCGTTTGCTACCTCACTGACAAAGGTCTAGCTGCTCACATCTGTCTTTATTTTTTTCAGGTTGGAAATTGAGTCCTGTAGTTGGAGCTGTATATGGACCTGAATTATATGCAGGTAGATATTAATACTGATTCTTCTGTTTCTGCCATTTGACTGCAGTGGTGATTGTTTATGTTCTCAATCTGCTGTTTCTTTATAACCTTTTTACATTTTTTATTCTTTTTAAAATTAAATTAGCATCCAGTTTTCAAGCAGATGTCTCGCTGGGCAATGACGCTGCAGTGCCCCTGTCAGGAAGGGGGGGTATTAACACTTACATTCCTTTAATCAGTAAGTAGCCCCTATTGGCCCCTGTATTGTTACTGTGCTTGAGTAAACAGTGATCTGTTCGCCCTCTTCTTTCCAGTTTGTATAATATGTACTTGAAAGGATGGGCCTTGGAAGAAAGAAATGCTATTTCTTTGGGCAGTGGGAGTGATTCATCCCTTCTTGCAATGCATTTTACAAGCTTGTTTATGGCTAGGGTTTCTCAGGGCGATCAGGCTGCTATAAATTTGTATGGGAGGGAGTGAAAGTGGAAGGTCCAATTGTCTTGACTTTAGCAATGTAACAGGCCCCACTTCAAAGTACATGTTATTCATGCTACTAAACTCTGAGTCCACTGCAAGCCCCCTTGTGGCATGCTCCTAGAAGCACCTTGGGTTCATTTTGCCTTGTGACTGACTGGTGCCATCTAAATATCCCTTTATTACATTGTGTTCCCAGCCACCTTCTGAGGTTTCAATATCATTTTGCCCTGGGCCAGTTTACTCCAGCATGATGTGTAATAAAACAGGGCCCAATATAGATGGAACCACTTAATGGTCAGCTTTGCCAGAAGGTAGGCACTTGGTAAACTTGGTAAACCTCATAATTAATTATGGCTGCATTCATTAGGCTGTTTTGATCATTTTATATTTAAATGACATGATGGAAAAGACTGAGTTGGAAAGAGAAACACACACACACACACACACACACACACATGTTCTTAATTCACAAGTTTAAGCTTATTATGAAAAAAGCATTTTAAGCATCCCCATTCCAAGTAAATGGAAGAGTTATTACCTGCCTGTATTAGTAGTAACTCTATGTGCTTCTGAGACTTTCTAACCAGACTGCATGGCATTATCAAAATGGTGTGGAGGACAAGGGGAAACAGTTTGTAGTTTGTGATGAAGAAGGCATGACACAACAATAATCCCTTGCATGCCAGGCCTCTCTGCAACCCTACCTTTCCTTCAAGATCATGTCATAGCAAGAGATATGTGAGGGTTTCAGAGCTCTAAGCATGCTCCTTCGCAGGACAGGTGCAAAACATTCCACGTCTATGGAGTTGTGCATAAGCCTAGTGAAATATGATTGTAATTGACTGGGCAGAGGAACTGATTCTTCTCATGTTTTTCCTTGTCTGTCTGTCTTCACAGTACCCAGCTTCCCTTACCCAACTGCAGCCACCACAGCGGCAGCATTTAGGGGAGCCCATCTGAGAGGACGAGGAAGGACAGTGTACGGTGCAGTACGAGCAGTACCTCCAACAGCCATCCCAGCTTACCCAGGGTAAGGATGGAAAACCATCCAGCAGTGATCTTTAGAAGAGGACATTCAATGGATTGAAAATAGGGACAGGAGGTGCCAACACTATAATGCTCTGCACTCCGTCATACTTGGAAAAGACAATCTAAAACTTACATTTATGACCAGAAAGAAAAATTCATTAAATTGGCAACCCAGCAGTGGGGAAAAAAGTGTTCAAAAATAATTTGCCAATTGTTCTAGCTTGTAACAATATTTTGGCAGCACAAAATAATCTGGAAAAAAATGAAGAAATAATCTTATAAAAAGAGTTTCCTAAAATTGTAAAGTCTGTGGAGTGAGGCTACTTCTTGTTCTCTGAAGTCCAATTTCATTGAATTACCCAGACTGACAAGCATTGTTTATTAGCTTCATTATACATTGCCTGTAAATTGGTCAGACAGAACAGAATAGTTACCCACAATGGATTTGCTTTCTTGATTAGAGATGTTTTCAGAAGGGTTAAACAAAGATTGAACAGATATGTAACGAAGAATAGTTTTTGTTTAAACTAGAATAAAAAGCCCAAACCAGGATAAGCAACATATTGCTTCCTTAGATTTTAATAGTTTCAGTAACATGACAGCTTAGCAGTGAGCTGCTTTTATCATTTCAAGGCATTGGTTGTTTTACTATTTTAAGTATTTTTTCAAGACTGACAACATTCCAGTATCTCTGTTGCCAGTTTTAGTTCTAAGATTTCATTTGCATTAAAAATGTAAGACTAAGTTCCAATCTTTCTTGGAACAAATCTAAGCAGAAAGGAAAATACCAAGAGACGGTTGGATACTGATCTCTTCTCTTTTAATTAGAATTTGGTGAAATACTCCAGATTATGCTAGGACTATTATAAAATCTTAGTGACCAAATAGCCTAGCATTTTAGTCTACAAACACGGTGCAGTTACTGGATAGTTATTTTCTGTATTCCCCTTTCTTCCATGGTTTATGTAAATATATTTTAAGGTTCTACCATATTAAGTAACATGTATCTGCATTCAGCATCCTATATGATTTTTATAGGTAGAAATGCTGGGATAGCTTCCATTAATCACATAGTATTCATGCGGGTACTTTTTAATAAATAATTATTGATATCCAGATATAATAAGTTATAAACTTCCAACTGAAATTGTTGATTGTAATTATCCATAATAGTAACAGCTAAAATTCCTAGAAAAGAAAACTAATTCATTGGAGTTGTGCTTTTAAAAAAAAAATCCCAATAAGATTTAAATTGAATATTTCAGATGAAGGCAGTTTAATAATCTTCTCTCAAAAATGATCCTCAGGATAACCCTTTATCCTTTTTAATGTTTTTCAGGATATTCATTTTTAATTTAGTTTAATTTATTAATAAATATTTTTTTTATTTATTAAATTTTTTGTTGCTTATCTCATAACAAAATGACTTGTATGGCTTACAGCATAAAACATTAAAATTGTAATATATAAATATCTCTAAAACAATAAAAATAGAAGTTCAAATCCAGATAAAATCATAATTGAATTTATAATATTTATAATAATATTTATTATTATAATATTTGTATTAAAATTATTATAGAGGGAAGTCCTAGTCCAGATAAATTTAAAAGATGGGGAGGAAGGGAATAGAATTCCTTGTAGTCTAGTACCAGTTTGGTTTGGTGGTTCATGCTTTCTTGATATAAGATAAAGGAGAAGATTCTTTGCAAAGCAGTTCAATACAAGTAAATATTGTATATCTTCTCCATGTGCTTAACAGCAAGAAAGGATGTGTTTTTGTAAGCTGCAAAAACTGAAATTCATCTTACAAACTTACTAATTTACAATAGGGGATTTATAAATTCAAAGCACCCCAATAAAAGGGATAGCCATTTTTGCCTCCTCACCGTAATCAATATTATATATCCATATTATAAATGGCATACTCTCCCTGCTGAATTGACATCATTTTTCTATGGCAAATTTTCATGGAGTACATTTATGCTGATCAGCTATGTTTTTGTAGTTTAAAATGGAAGTGGAGTGCAATCCTGCATGATTAGTTTAATAACTTAAACTTGCATCACTGTAAAAAACTGATGATTATAAAGCAAATTTATAGCCAAGCTATCCTAGCCTTGTTGTTTGTAACTTCCTATAGGTGGGTGTGTTCTGATCAGTGTGAGAGAAGCTTGGCATCATTTTGCACTCCAGTTGGCATATGGAAAAAAAATTACAAGTAATATTGTCTCCTAGCCTGTGATAACATTAACTGGTAAGCCAGATACATACACACAAGGCTCTCATATATGGGGAACTAATGCTTTTTAATATGAGTGATTTAGCATTCATCTATCAAATGATTAAAGTTACAGAAAGCTGTGCAAAGCATGCATTCATAACCAGGGCTGTGGCAAACTCTTTTCCTTTCTTATCTTTCCCTGATCTTTTGCCCTATCAACACAAAGCTCTATGAAATGTTCTAAGTTGTAGTAATTTCACAGTTCATTTCTTTCTGGGTGTGCTAGAACAAACTATTTAGTAGTTGTTAGATTCGAAAGGAGGGAGCTAGGTACATTCCCTAGAATGTATCCTTGCTATCTATCCAGGGACTCCCCTTTCTTATTTTTCGAGTTCTGCAGCCTTGGATCAGTTACCTAACCCTTTTAGCTCATGATCTCTGCTTGTGAAAGCAATGCATTGTGGGTATTTTTATTACATTTATTTTTGCTTACTTTGATCAGAATTGAATGATTTGGGGGTTTTTACTCTGAGGATAAATCAGTACTTTTAGATGCTAAATAATCATAATTTGCATGCTTGTGTGATCGGCCAAAACTTATTGCATGTCTAATGTAAAAAATACAAAACAAAAAATAGGTGATGTATGGATATCAGAAGTGATCACACAAGGCTGCAAGATGCAGATGAGTACACAACTTTTGGTGTGTTTTTGATCTAGGTGGACCCCAGCACTGGATGAACTACTCCCAATGACCTTGCTTGTTCTACTCGGAGCCCGTTACATGAAAGCAGTTGATTCATTTGTTTAGAGGGTTAATTAAAGCCTTTCCAGGTTAATAACAAAAGTTGAGGTTTCTCAAGTTGTATTTTTCTTTTTTCAAAGCATTGAATTTTTAAAACAACAACACTCTATTGTACAGCATCAAGGTTGTTTTCTCCCCATCCCCCCTTTGCATACTGTCTGCCCTTCTGCCCTGCCCGCCTGCATGCCATGGAAGATGACATGGAGCTGTCTAGCGTGCGTGCGTGCGCAAACACAAACTCTGCTGATTTGCTCCTGCCCGAAAGCCCAGGTTATGGATTCATACATCACCTGCCTGTGTAAAATGCATGTGCATGCTGCCGTCCTCAATAACCGGAATGTGTTTTCTGTTCTTTTTGTTTTTGTTTTGTTTTTTTTGTTTTGTTTTGTTTTTGTGTGGATTTTCTGCAGTGTGGTTTACCAGGACGGATTTTACGGTGCTGACCTCTATGTAAGTACATACACTTGGAGCCTTCTCATCTCCAACCCATAACAAGCCAGCCTTTTTTTATTATTATTATTGTGGTTGCTGTTCCTCTTGTTGATGATGATGTTTTTGGTTTAATTTTGTGTTTCAAAATATAATTTTCTTTAATTTACTTATTCCCTGTACATACATACATACATACATACATACATATTATATATTAAAGAATGCAAGCATGTTTCTTATTATTGCACTTGACCTTCAGTGCAAACCTGAGCTGGGTTTTTTGACCATTGCGAGGTTCAATATACTGAGTATTCTTCTCACAAAGATACAGTGTAGTTCTAATCAGCCTAAGATACAATTAGCAAATGAAAATTTTCATCATTGCCCTTTTAATTGGCATAATTTGATTACCCAAAATAAAAAGGTTGATCTTGCCTCAGACCCTTCCTTTTCTTTATCCATTTCCTTTCTTCTCTTGAGATCTTTGAAAATTTATGTAGGGATTGGAGACTAAGGGTTAGGGTTAGGTGAAAGTGTGGGCCTTTTACGATATGTTCAATATTATACCCAAGTATAAATAAATAAGTAATAAATATTTTGGTTAGCATTTTGACACTATCTCCTAAAGGTGATCGTGATATATCATATCCTTACTTAGTTCCCCTGAGTCAAACATTAATTTTAAAAGAGTATTTTCTTGTATCTCCTCAATCAGTTAGTCTAGTTCACAGCTGTCCTTATACCAGGCTTCCCCATTTGATGCCTTCCAGATGCTGACTTTGGCCATGCCTACACTAGCTCGGATTTATAAGAAGTGCAGTCAAAACACAGAAGGAAGTCATCAAATTAGGCAAGATTTAGAATTTAACAAATGCAGGCTCTAAATCAGCATATAGGCCATTAAATCTATTTATTTACTATCTAAAATCTGTAGCTATTTTCTGGTCAAAAGGACAATAAATAAAGAATACTTTATGCCTTGATTAGATCAGCTAAAATGCCAGTTGGCAATAAAACTTTTCAGTAAATTAATTTAAAGTATAATTCTGATAGTGATGTCAGTGGAAGAGACAGACAGGATCTTTGTGATGATATCATAATGAATGAAATAAGCTTATTATTGAGACTATTTCATTTTAAAAGGCATATTATATAGAAAATATGTGGGAGAATCTTCTCTTGCTTCTAGCCTATCAGTTTTTATGGGTTTTTAAAAAGGTATCTCCCTTGCAGAACCCTGATACAAATAATTAGGGAGATATTCTGCATAATACATAGAATTATTATTATTCTATTTCAAGTTGTAGGCATTGCTTGTGTACTTTTCTATCTTGTTTGGATTTCATTATGCCATTTGTATAGACAAAATATAGCTGTACTTCCCCCTTCCCCCAGCACTACTGAATTATTATCTGATACAGATGAGATGCAATGAGAATATAAACAAATGGAGGCCATTCCTTGAGTTGTGCTTTAATGCAATATAATAAGTATCCAGATGGGTAATTCCCCAATCCCAGCACAATGTCCCCTATTGCAATATCCCTTGATATTTACTTAAGGTTTAAAATTATAATTTTTCTTAAAAAAAAATATTCAAATAGATATGCCATTCTTTGAGACTAGTGAGAATAAATACATTTCTCAAGGTGGGCAAACCAAACTTTCTCCATTGCTTTTCATTGCTAATTGAAGTGAACCATAATAATAAAAACTTGGTCAGTAACTCTAAGCCATCTGCTTTTTGCTGTTATAATTGGCATGAATCAAATGGGTGCTGTTACTCCATAATAATTCACTAGCAATTCATTTTCTTGCCTCTGTGGGGAAGTCACTGTTATGGGAGGAATGAAGAAAGCATTTCTTAAAAGCAGGAATGAAGGAAGGTTTAAACAAAATTGTTTCCATGAAATTCAGTTAATAGCAAGATATGGAACCGAGATGATATGAAAGAGAAAATAGTGATCTCCGCTTAGATCTTTTGCTTTTCTATCATTTTCTTATCCTTGTCTTCCTTTTCTTTTCTGGGGCAAACATTCCTAACTACTTTATGTCCAATTTAAAGATTTATTGCTCCCTGGCATTAAAAATGCAGGCCCAGGGTGCAGAGGGTGGGTGTGGGAAGTAACAGCTTTGATCACAGCTTCCACTAGTGTGTGGTTTATTTATTTCACAAAAGCAGTCATCCTAAAGGACCAAACCTTTTGGTGAAACATGTGCTTGCATCCTAAGGAAAGAAAAGGCTGGTAAGCCCCTTTGCTGGGTTTTTTTGTGTGTGTGTCTGATTGTTTCCCTCCACAGCTGTGTTTTTGAATTGCTCTTCCTGTGTTCTGTTATAGAATAGTCTTACAGGAACCAATCATTAGCGCTAAAATACCTCAGGTAGGAGTGCCAGTGTGACCTGCCAACCAATCAGATTGTGGATTGCAGTGGGATAAAGAAAAAAAAATTGAATTCATACTAACAGTTCCAATTAGAGATGGGAACAGAGTCTTTTTCAAAAGAAAAAAAAGGCCAAGATACGTTTGTGAGCATATGATCAAAACTCTCATTTGTCTCAGTGCTGCACAAGTCCCAAAACATATAGGAAGGTTTTTCCAAACATAGGTAACAAACTAGGAAATTTTTTTGTGTATGTAACAAGCATAATACAAGCATGTCATATTTTTTTTCTTTTGTGTTTGTTATCCATACTTTCTCAGAAGCATATATGCTAACCACCTTGAAAGAAAGCTTGGGAATGCTAGTCATATGCTTTGTGCTTTAAAAATAAATAACCTATTGTAGAGAAGTACAGAAGTAAACACATTAATTGCAGGGTATTTAAAAAAAACACTGAAATCATTGACTCTCAACTATTTTCTAAAATACAATAACACTCAATAATAAGCAGTGTCAAGATACTACCTTCTAAACAAGAGGCAGACTGTAAGGTGTCATGATAATGTTTCATGAGTGTCACAGAACAAAAGTAGAGGTCTTTACAAGTTAAATCTTCGAAACAGAAGTGGAGACTGCAGATCCTGGCCTTGAATGGAGAACTCTTGACTCTGAATCCATTTTTCTCCCCAGCTTGAAAGTCCAGCTATTTCTGGGTCTGAGAATGTCCAGCATATAAACCTCCTAAAGGAGATCAGCTAACATGTGGTGGAGTTCAGTTTTGTGAGACTGCAAGCCATGCTTTCCCCCAACTCTCCATCATATCACCAAATCAAGGGGAAAATATAGACCACAGCTTGGCTTCTCCCAGTTTCCCCTATTCTTATTTTGTTTGCTATGCAATAAAAACTGTCTATATTTGTGCTCTCTGAGCTTGATTGTTTGTTTGCAGATATTTCATTAGCCAACTCTACCAAGTCAGAATTACCAAGGAGAAAACAATACCCCCACCAATTCTGGCAGGAGAAGCTACTATATATAAACAGGAAGCAAACCCTACATTCACTAGCACTCATGATGTTTATGATGATTGTATTTTTACAATTACTATGATCATGATTTATCACTTATTACTTGTATGTAGACTGACAGCTTATGCACCAGAGACAAATAGCTTGCATGTCCAATTACACTTGGCCAATAAAAATTCTATTCTATTCTGTTCTCTCCTAGTCTCTCCTGTTCTATTCTATTCTATTCTATTCTATTCTATTCTATTCTATTCTATT